TGGTATCATAGTTTTCATTCTTTTTTCTTCTTTATTAATTTCTTCTTTATCAGAAGAAATTTGCCTTTTTTGTGAAACCCTACTTGAAGACTCTTTTGGTGGTTGTAGATTCAAAAATTCATCATGATGTTCAAAATTATTTGTTGATATTGGAATTTTAAACTTATTTGATGATGGGATCGGTGTATCCTGTTGTGTTTTTTCCTTTTTCTTTTTTTTTTTTAAAAAACAAAAAAGTTACATTCTGTTAAACAAAATAACTTTTAAGTTAGACGCACATACCACATTTATTTTAATGTTCGGCTCGGTAATTAATGATGTATTTGTTGCAGATACAGCTGCATTGCTTTTAGAATTACCATTTAGAATTAGAGTTATTTATATATATCATTAAAGAAAGTTTCGAAGTTAATTGCAGTTAAACATTTTATTATTATTATTATTATTTTATTTGGGATAAAATGAACGTACTTGTTTGCAATATCTGATTTTGAAGAGGATAATATTATTGAATTACTTTGCATAATATCAAGAGGTTTCGTAATTTCAATAAGTTTAGCAAGCCTCTGGTCTTGCTATAAAGGCGTAAAATGAAAGTAAGTTAATAATTACCAAATGATTAATAATCATTAACTCATAAATTACTTTTAATAATTCCTGTAGTGTAGCTTCCAAGTTCGCTGCTGATTCACCCTTAAGATCATTATTTATTGAATGCATATAAGAATCTAAATCATCTTCGGCTGCAACCGCGGGAGATAATTTTTCTAAAAATTTGAGAAAATATTATATATATATATATAGTTATTTTTTTTTTAAAAAAAAACAAGTAAACTGTAATTTCATTAATAAAAATACCGAATTCTTTAGCAAAAGATATTTTGTTTCGAGTTTCTTCGATTTTAATTGCAAGTTCTTCTCGTTGTTTTGTTAATGATCCATATGTCTCGACTTTTTGAGGTTGCTGTATTTTACGTAATTTTGCTCGCTCAGCTACGATTTAAATTAAAATACAAAATTCATATAATTATTTAGTTACATATTGTATTTGAATAAAAAATCAATCAACTCAATTACCTTGTCCGGTTCGATCATAGTAACTATCGTTATCATCGTCTTCATCAGTATCACCGATCAATTCACGCATTCTTTTCTTTCTTGCGGCTATTTAAACAAAGAGTTAATCATCAATCTCATTTTAAAGGAAGTATAAAGTAGACTTATAATACATACAGGCTTCGTCTTGACTTGCGCGCAGTAGGCCAAGCATGTCTAATTTCTCACAAGCGTCTATAGAAGCTTGTTTTTCTGCATCCCTAAATTTTTCTTTTTTTTAATTCATATTTATTTTCTTCCGGAAAGAATAAACATAATTATTATACCACTGACTTTCTTTTAGAACCGCTGCCTGTACCATAAACAGGCCCATATGCATCTTCAACGTCCGGCAATCGAATACTTAAGAAATTTTAATGAATTAAAATATGTACGGCAAAGATTTAGAAAAACGTGAAAAAGATTAAGATACAAACCGAGCAGTAAAAGTACGTGAATGACCTGGTCCTTCTTGCTCATTTTCAAAATCCAAATCATAACCGCGATTCTATGAAAGTCAAACATATGATATAAACAATTTAAACGTATGGATTTTCTAGTTCATATTTTAAGTACCTCGAGCCAATTTCTTAAAGCCTTTCTTGGATTTTTGTAATAATAAGCATCTTCATCACGCTTCCATGATTCTTTAGCAGCCGAAACATTCATTTCACTTTCATCCTCTGCATCTTCTGCAAAACCCCTAAAACAGAATCAAAAACAAAATAAAACCAAGTATTAATTTTTCTATATTGAATGTCTAAACGAATTTTTTCTGTACCAATTAACGCCAGACTCTTCTACAGATTTTGATAATTTTTTAATTCGTTTTGGATGGTGTTCTGGTTGAGGTTCTTCGGGTCCCAATAAAATATATGTTCGGGTGCTTTCTCCAAATTTTAACTGGTCGCCGACGCGAAGTTTTATATAACTTTGTGGTTGTATTCTTTTTTTGTTAACTATAGTTCCATGTGCACTATCCAAATCATACAAAAAAATCTCGCCTTATTTTTTTTTTTTTTAAACAAAAATTCATCAAATTAACGACGAAAAAAACAAAAATTATATAATAGGTATTTTTTTTTTTGATTTTAGAAAAACGATCACCTTTATCGTTAAACTGAATAATGGCATGATATCTAGAAATAGACTACAAATATTTTCAAATTCACATTACAATAGGAATCAATTAAACTTTAAACAATCGAAATAAAATAAATACTAGGGTACCG